TGTGAATTATTTATGATTTGGGACTACGAGGTGGTACCTCGGGAGTGCCCTTGTTGATGTTGATATTTCATTATGGCTGTATTAGCCTTTACTTATTTTGGTGATTTTCTTAAAGTTGTAAATTTCTGTTTTCCTTCTGCGATGTGTTATTTGCCCTTATTCTGTGTAGTTAAATTGCGACACACTACTTACTTGATTCATTCCCATTGTCATTATTATTATGATATTGTTAAACTTTTCGCCTTGTCTTTTATTATTTCCAGTAGGGCCCTGATCTGACCTCGTCACTACTCTACCGAGGTTAGGCTTGATACTTACTGGGTACCGTTGTGGTGTACTCATATTACGCTTCTGCACATCTTTTTGTGCAGATTCAGGTACTTCCTATCAGACCAGACATTCGTGAACTAGCCGTATGCAGAGACTTCAAGGTATATCTGACAGCGTCCGCAGACCTCAGAGTCCCATTCTATCCTTATTGTGTTGCTTTCCTTATTTCTCTTTAGACTTTGATGTATAGAGACACTTAGAATAAATTCTTAGAAGCTTGTGACTTATTTCTACCGGATTTTGGGAGTTGTGACTCTTTGAATCGCGGTTTGATTTATTTTGTATGTTGAGATTTGAGTTTCAATTTTGTATTCCGTATAATTGATAGGCTTACCTAGTCTTAGAGACTAGGTGCCATCACGACATCCTACTGAGGAAAATTGGGGTCGTGACAATAAATTAGATACAAAATATACAAAAGATAGTGTATACAATTTGTATAAAAATTGTATTTAAGTTGTATGATATTGTAGTTGTATTTAACTGGGTAGAAATAATGTACGAAAGTTGTAAATAAGTTGTATAATATATAATTAGTTGTATGAAGTTTATTTTTACTATGTATGTCGTTTTAGATATTCAAATTTGCACTAAATTTGTACGAATTTATTTTTAATTTGTATGTTGATGTACCATATATTGTTCTTTTCTCAGTTGATTTATTAAGGAAAGAAAAGTAGAGAATGAATTCCAAATCGACACATGTACACTGATTCATATTTGTTTGAATGGAAAAACTTGAATATTGATGGGAACTGAATGATTTGGGTGGAGTGAAGCAAGAAGAAAGGGAGTTAGGTCAGAAGTTCCTGGTGAATGTCGATGCTTGGATGGATCTTCGAGCTGCTGGCAAATCTGACTGCTTATCAGGTACTCTAAGTTACTATGATATATACGAAATAGTACTGAAAGAGGTGATGGAAGGGCCCTCTACAAATCTGCTAGAATTTGTGGCTCAACTCATTGCATCGTCAATCCTCACCAGGTATTCCCATGTATCTGATGTTCGCGTTTAAGTTGGAAAGCCTCATATGGCTGTCCAAGGGTCTGTTGACTACTTGGGTGTCGAGATCATTAGATACAGAGGTGTTGATGTTCAAAACTGAGACTTATTGCTTGTATTATTTGCAATCTAAAATTTTGCTCTTTGACAACAACAACAAAAAAAAAAAAAAAAAAAAAAGGAAGGGCGACAACTTCAGTAGTATCTCATGCCTTTGACGAATGTATCACAATTTATTAAGGAAAGAAAAGTAGAGAATGAATTCCAAATCGACACATGTACACTAATTCATATTTGTTTGAATGGAAAAACTTGAATATTGATGGGAACTGAATGATTTGGGTGGAGTGAAGCAAGAAGAAAGGGAGTTAGGTCAGAAGTTCCTGGTGGATGTCGATGCTTGGATGGATCTTCGAGTTGCTGGCAAATCTGACTGCTTATCAGGTACTCTAAGTTACTATGATATATACGAAATAGTACTGAAAGAGGTAATGGAAGGGCCCTCTACAAATCTGCTAGAATTTGTGGCTCAACTCATTGCATCGTCAATCCTCACCAGGTATTCCCATGTATTTGATGTTCACGTTTAAGTTGGAAAGCCTCATATGGCTGTCCAAGGGTCTGTTGACTACTTGGGTGTCGAGATCATTAGATACAAAGGTGTTGATGTTCAAAACTGAGACTTATTGCTTGTATTATTTGCAATTTAAAATTTTGCTCTTTGACAACAACAACAACAACAACAACAAAAAAAAAAAAAGGAAGGATGACAACTTCAGTAGTATCTCATGCCTTTGACGAATGTATCACGATTTATTAAGGAAAAAAAAGTAGAGAATGAATTCCAAATCGACACATGTACACTGATTCATATTTGTTTGAATGGAAAAACTTGAATATTGATGGGAACTGAATGATTTGGGTGGAGTGAAGCAAGAAAAAAGGGAGGTAGGTCAGAAGTTCCTGGTGGATGTCGATGCTTGGATGGATCTTCAAGCTGCTGGCAAATCTGACTGCTTATCAGGTACTCTAAGTTACTATGATATACACGAAATAGTACTGAAAGAGGTGATGGAAGGGCCCTCTACAAATCTGCTAGAATTTGTGGCTCAACTCATTGCATCGTCAATCCTCACCAGGCATTCCCAGGTATCTGTTGTTCGCGTTTAAGTTGGAAAGCCTCATATGGCTGTCCAAGGGTCTGTTGACTACTTGGGTGTCGAGATCATTAGATACAGAGGTGTTGATGTTCAAAACTAAGACTTATTGCTTGTATTATTTGCAATTTAAAATTTTGCTCTTTGACAACAAAAAAAAAAAGAAAAAAAAAGAAGGAAAGATGACAACTTCAATAGTATCTCATGCCTTTGACGAATGTAGCACGAAACAATTATCAAACAGAAATCCCTAAATATAAGTTCGGAGTGAAGAGGGGAGAGGAGAGAAAAAAGAAAAAGGGTGTAACGAAATCCCTTGATTAAAGACACTAATAATGGATTGGGGCCTTTTAAGGTGGAATGTATATAATTTGTAAGTAATCCTTGTTTATGGCGGGTAATATACAAAATTAGAATAATTTTGGTAATAAGTTTCAAATATGGTATAAAAATGAAAAAAAATCCCTTTTCTGAATAACAAAAGAAATAACATGGGATTCACAAGAATGAAGGCCCATGCCAACCGACGTAATAGGCTTTTGGTCTTCACAATTTGGGCCATGCTTATTTGACTTCAGTTCAACTGTCCAATTCTGCGCAACACAAGCCTGGCCCCGAAATACTGTATTATAATAATTGAGTTTTTCTCTGATACTGGGCACAGCTTCGAATTAGTCAGGACAATGAGATTTTTATAAATATACATAAAGGGAGGAAAAGGATAAACGAAGAAGGGATTACTGTGAAAAATCGAATCCTTACTAGCAAAGTAAATATTTAAGTAGCCAATCAACTGGCCTTTTAGAATTTCACGAACTATGGAATTTGGATACCAACTACTACTTAAACCCAAAAAAAAAAAAAAAAATGTACTATCTACTTTGGTAGTGGTACATAAAAAGAAGATTTTCTGTTTTTCTGACTGATATTTGTTTGGAACCAACAGCAAAAACAAAAAGTAGGCCCAACATCAAGCGCACCACTTATATTTACAATTCGTCTCAAAATCATTCAAACTGTCACATTGGTACATTGATACATAAAAAGATTATAAGAAAGTGCAAGTATACTAGATGTTGAGGAACAAGCTAAGGTGCGAACTTTAAAACATAAAGTCCATAGGGTAGATCAATCCATTCCATTTCTGGATACAGTTCCTTTAGTTATCAACTTATCATAGCGGAATATTTCAGATGGAAAAGGAATTGTGATAGCAATTGGCAAAATAGATTGTTGCCACAGCAGATTCAACAGTTCAAAAGACTAGAATAAGCTTTGAGAGAAATTTGATTTATCTGTATATTTCTTCATTGTAGAGCATGCATTTGTACAAGAGAAAATATAAAACCCTAACTATCAATGCTAATTAACTATATTGCCTATCCTATAACATAATGTAAGGAAAATATGTACAAAGTTTACAAAGAATGAAAACTAAATAGTATGAGTTCTGTATGTGTAGGAATATTCTAGATTCATGCATAGAATACACAGCTGTAATGTATTGTGTTGTGTCCATCTGGACCATTCAATATTAAATCAATCCAACAGGTCTAGGAAGACCGCTTGTCCACTGAGAAGGCTGACTCAAGTTATTTCTAACACTGGGTTTAGGACATAATTTAGTCATGTTTAGAGTCTTGTGGTACGATTAGAGTAGGCAAGTAAAACATAGACAGATTGAATCGCTAATCCATGTGGTGGAATTTAATTGTATCCAAACAGCCTGGACGTTGGGGTTGGGGTAGCACACCAGGGATCCTAGCTACTCAGGGATTAGGAGAACAATTACTTGTTTAAAAGACATTTAGTGAACTATGGTTCTAAATGTATGTATATTTGCTACAATATGTAATTATGTCCTCAGTCCGGTTTGGATTAGGTGACTACTGACTGAGCTGGTGAACTCACCTCCTTTTTTACTCTTTTTCTTTTACATATATAGGAATTGACAGGGCTGCTGAAAGATCGATAGCTACTTGAGGAAGACATATGTCGGTGAGCTCCACACATAGTTTCGTGCTATGTTGCTCGGACTCTCCAAAAATTTCTTCGCTTGCGTGTCGGATCCTCCAAAAGTAATACATTTTTTAAGGATCCGACATGGATACGGCATCATTTTAGAGAGTCCGCACAACATAGGTTTCGTGGAGACTCCTTTATTTAGTTTTAGCTAGTTTATATAGGCATTTATTCTTGAGTTGCTACATGTATTGTACACTATACTCTTGTCTTCGGTTATAGTTAGTTTAGGAAAAAGAACACTTGGATATACCCATAATAATAGAATCCACATGAAAAAGGAAAAATGATAGAGCAAATAAGGTGTGCGACTACAAATGAACTTACCGGGATTGTGAACTTATTAAAACTTAGTTTTGAAATCATATGAAAATATTTAACTATTCAATCCATACTTAATTAAGATATTCTCTCCGTCCCAATTTAAGCGGTAGTGTTCGACTAGACATGGAGTTTAAGAAAGAAAAGAAAACTTTTAAAACTTATGGTCTAGAACAAACCATACAAAATTTGTATGACTAAATCATCTCATTAAGAATAAAATGGAGAATTTAAAGCTAATCAATAAAAGGATTACCGTAAATCATCCATTCTGATTTCAGCTTATTCAGTTCATCTACGCTCATCCCATTTAGAAGCATAAAGTATCAAATATACTTATATTCTTAGTTGAGAATGTCCCTTATCCCTTCATCTTCTTCCACTTCTTAGCCTGGTAAACCAACAAATTCTCACTGCCTTAGACAAAGAGATTAGGTAAAAAAGGAATAAACAAATACTGAAGCAAAATATAGATAACAGAGGAGGAATCTTTGTCATTCGGCAAAGAAAACTTTTATTCAACCAACGAACCCAAATATACAGTAACATAAAGAGCTAAAACGTCACAAAAGTATGGCACTTCCTTCATTCTAGTTTATGCGACTCTTTCATTATATATTGAAATATTTAACTTTTTTTGGTCAATAATTTAACTTTAAAATTTTCATTTTTTTTTTAGCTACACATGCTTAAAACCACATGACTTAAAAGTATTTCTTGCCTTTTTAAGCTATATATGCTCAGTCAAACACGTTCACATACAATAAGATGAAATGAATAATCCCTTTTTTGCAACTAAAAGAAAGGAATAATTCTAACACCTTTAAAATGATTTGACTAACAAGTGACGAATTGTTACATTTTACAAAACGCTAAGAGAAAAATGAGTAGCAAAAGGCCACTTTCCTTTTCATGACACCTACTTGTACTTCAAAGTCACATACCAATGAAGTCAATAGATTGCAAATTAAAAATAAACCAAAAAGAAAGCACAGACTAAAACTGTCTTGAGCGCACATGACTTTTACGCACCTCTAGTGTTGTAAGCGCGGACTGCAAGAATTTCATTTCCCAAGCATTGTTGTTCTTCTAGAATTTCCTCTGCAGAAGTGACAGCAGATTGGCTACAATAATGCAACTCAACCAATTTCAATGTGGGAATATCTCCAATCTCTGTAGGAATCTCCTTCAACTTATAACAATGTCTTAGAATTAGATACTCAAGGCTTGGAAGACTATCACTGGTCGCATGCCAGTGCACCAACTCCGTCTGGACAATGTCTAGCAACTTTAGTTTCTTGAAACCTCCTTCATCTAGATTCCAATTGCTCCCCTGAAAAGCAAAAAGTTCTAGTTTGAGCCCCTCAAGGTTAGGTAAGTTACTAAGCATTGTCATCTCCGTCCATAGTAGATGCGTCTCTGCAAGTATCAAACTCTTGAGGTTTGCTGGGAAAACGTCAAATGGTCGAGCACTCAGCCTTTGGAATAATTGTGCATCAAATGGAAGACGGAGAAGAATTCTTAGATTCTGAAGATCAGCTAAATAGATAAGATTATCTATAACATTATCCCATCCATCTTGATTGAGCTCAACATCCAATACCTTTACATGAGGGATTGCCATAAAGATTTCCTTCAAGTCGGAAGAAGTAGCAGTGCTTAGTGAAAGCTCTTCTAAGTTTTCTAGGCCCAAAAAATTTGGTGCCTTAGGAGGAGCAGGCACATACATTTTCCCAGGATAGAAATGTATCAAACTTGATATTTTCCAAATTTCTAATGGCCAGGATAATTCATTCGCAACTGAATGAACAATCAATGTCTGTAGATTCCACAGATTAGATATTGATGCCGGAACACTGGTAGAAGTGGCCAATGCAAGATATCTCAAGTGCACTAATTGTGTTATCTCAGTTGGAAAACGTAGAAAATAAATCAGTAGTACATCCAATACCCTTAGCAATTGAAAACGAGAATCCACTATTTTGTAGCATTCATAGTCGAGTAAAGAAGCATGTGGTTTATGCGTGCATGAGATGGTGCGAACTGAATCCAGATTGCCTTTCTCTAGGCCGATATTCTGGTTTTGTACAGCGTCTTCATACAAAAATAGTCGATGTTCACTCTCCACGCCTTCTGAGGACACTTCGTAACATTCACTTATGACATGAAAAAACTTTTCGGCTTTCCCTTCTCTCAAGCATATTAGTCGAATGAGGTCGTGAATTCTGCAACTTTTAATTTTTCCGCTTACCCACCCTCGACTATTAACCATAATCAAACTTCTACTAACTAGCTCCTCTAAACATTCTTCTCCTACTTCCTTTGGCTTTTTATGACTATTTCGCTTCAGAAAACCTTCAGCAACCCATATTCTAATCAACTTATCCGCAGAAATATCTGCATCTTCAAGGAAAACCCCCATATAAAGAAAGCAAGCTTTCAAGCTACAAGGCAAGTAGTTGTAACTCAGAGCTAATATTGCTAAACACTGCTGGGAGGTTGAACCTATGTGGGAATTCACATTATCAGCAATTTGTTGCCAATCATCATATGTCCTAATGATCTTCGACAGAAGCCCAGCGATGACAACAACTGAGAGAGCTAGCCCTTGACATTGTTTCGCTATCTGCTTTCCTACTTCCTCGAGCTGAGGAGGACAATCTTCATTTCCAAAAACCTTAAGAGATAGTAATTTCCAACTATCTTCAAGACTAAGAAAAGGCATGTGATGAGGAGGGAAATCATTGCCAGCACAATTAGCTACTTCGAGGAGCCTAGTAGTTATCATTATGCGACTTCCATTTTCATCATCGGGAAATGATCTTCTTACTTGGTCCCAAGCCTCTATAGTCCACATATCGTCCAAAACTATCAAATACCTCTTCCTTTTCAATTTTCTATGCACTTGGTCCAATAATTCATCTTCGCTCATATTGCGGTACATTGCCTTCCCACCTGGAGTGCCGAAGCTTAGGACATCCAAAAGCATTTCTTTTGCATCATATGCTTGAGAAACAGTAACCCATGAAGAAATATCAAAGCGTGGGGATACTGATGGATGATTAAATAAACTTCTAGCAAGAGTCGACTTACCGATACCGCCCATACCAACAATTGAGACAACGTTCAGCTCTGGTGTTTGCCTAAAGAGTTGATCTCTTATGATGTTGAAATCATCCTCCATTCCAACAAGACTATTTTCCTCATCCCAGACACGCCCTGATGAGCGCAAAGGTGAAGAAGTTATTGCTGAAAGATCTTTGATATCTTGCTGGTTATTGTGCCGGTCATTCTTGAACTTCATCACTTCTCCTTGTATGGAATCCATTACTTCTATTATTTGCAGCAACTCGTCATAAAGCTTACAACGAGCGTTGTTCTGCACTTTTTCAGAATCAGCCACATGGATTCTTCTTAGGCACAAATCAATTGTGTCTTCTGCTTTATATCCTGCATCTCTAATCTTTTCTTCCAAAAACATCAATGCTTCTTGATCACTGATCTGCTTTCCCGTGTCCTCAAGGAAAGATTGCAAGAAAGAAAGTGTTCCATAAAGTGAATCAACGGATTCCCTACATTCAGAAATCAAACTTGGATTGAATTGCAAGACTTGCTCTATAGTTGTCATAATGGAAGTTATAACAGCATAAGCCATCTCTCTCTAGCTAGATCCTGTTTGAGGGTTACTCGAGTGGGAAGAACAAAGAAAGTAATACTAATTCAGCCAAAAAGAACTGACGAAGAAAGTAATACTAATTCAGCCAAAAAGAACTATAGAAATGCACTAGTGCTTCTATATCCCCTCCCCTCCAAACACTCACCTAACACCACCAAGTTGTTTTCCTGAGAATTTTCTATTGGAATTTTGGGGCCAGGCCGGCGAGAGGGGTAGGTGTAGAGTGTGAGAAATTTTGTTTTTATCTGCCACAGAAGATACAAAAGCATCACAAGTAGTCAAATAGACATTGCCTTTTCAGAAGCACAAGAGCGCAGATTAAGGCTATTTAATTAAGCTCATTAAAAAACCTTGTACAACCATGTGAGAGTTCATTTTTCTAGGCCATAAATCTTGATTTAATTATTGATTTCTATATTGCATATAACTGTTCAATCTGTTAAGTACTGAACTGGAATAAAGTAACTCAAGAAAGATTCTTGATTTTCTATTATACTTATCTGTCACTCCTTGGAGCTGGCTTGTGCAAGAGCTAAGAGGAATGGAATTGTAAAATTAAACTATTGTCGCACACACTCTGCAAGAAATTCACTCGCGCGCGCGCACACACACACTCTCTGCACAATATGAAACACTGAATTCCCCCATAGCTGTTCCTGTTCAGCTCGCCTTCATAGCTTTCTACCTCAAACACCATCTTCTCCGTTGAAATGCACCACTATGAGCACTTCCTTCCACAGAAAGAACCTTCTCTTCACTGAAAACAGACTTAACAAAAAATCACTCCATTTACCCATTTTCACAAACACCATATCTCCACTATTTTGCGGCGGTGCTGTTGCTTATTCAGTTTCTAATCGAGTTCCCGGTTTGAGTTCAAACCCCTGTTCCGTGGTGGTTCTAATTTTTCCCTTCGACTCTCCCTCAGAGGTCCTGTACCTAATCAAAAGTTCTGTTTAATTTGTGTTTATGATATGGAGTGTGATATTAGCTTATGTCATTCTTTCATAAAGTTGTGAATGCATTTTTATCTGCTTGTTTTTGTGACTGAATGAATAAAGAGACACTGTCACGAGATCCTTTTAGAGCATAATATAGTGTGCTGAAACTGTTGGGTTTTTTGTCTAATCAGATAAAAAGGTGTGAATTGGAAATGGAAAGAACTAGGAGGGAAAGAAAAGTTTGAAATAATTTTCTTTACTAATGCACTTTGTCCCTCGTCGGAAGAAAGAAAAAAAAATTTTGTGAGAAGCATATCTTCTAGCTTTTAAAGAGTTAAGAAGAACTGGCGCCTCGTGCCGTCGTCGTCACTTGGCTTCGGGGCTTTGGCTTCGGTCAATTGATATAATTGATCGTTTTTGAATTGGTAATACATAATAGTTGTTCTGCTATATCTTGCGAGAAATTAATCAAACAACCTTGGGCAATAGTGAGGGATTAAATATCTTAAACAAACACAGTTTTATGTCGGGCTCGGAACGTTATTCATTTCATTCTATTTCTATCTTTGGTTTCTGATTATATTTTATTTTGCAGAAATTATACTTTCGAATACAGATTATAACAAGCTTAAGGATTTTAATATTTTTTATATTCTGTGTTCATCTTATTTTCTGATGTGTTCATCTTAAGGAAATTAAAGTCTTTCTGACTTTAATCTCAATCCGAGATTAAAATCATGTGATTTTCTACTCGTTTGTTTGTATTTGATTTGAAGATATAAAAACTTCACGACTTACTAATTCTGGTTGTGTCAATTTCTTTTACAGAAAAAATGACAACAAGTACGGAACAACAGAATGGTTCTATTGGGACTATTGCTGCAATGGCTACTGCGTCTTCAAGTCGCACAACTCACGCACCGGCGATGGCACCAACAGAAAAATTCGGAAAGTTTTTCGGTGTGGACTTTAAGCGTTGGCAGGAGAAAATGTTCTTCTACCTGACCACACTCAATTTACAGCGCTTTGTCAGCGAGGACGTTCCAGTTTTGGGAGAAGAAACTCCTGAAAATGAGCGATTCGTGGTCACAGAGGCATGGAAACATTCTGACTTCTTATGCAAAAACTATATTTTAAGTTGCTTAGAAGACGTCTTGTACAATGTTTATAGCGTCATGAAAACATCAAGAGAATTGTGGAATGCTCTTGAAAAGAAGTACAAGAGTGAGGATGCTGGACTTAAGAAGTTTGTAGCCGCCAAATTTCTGGATTTCAAAATGGTTGATGGCAAAATCTGTCATAACGCAAGTCCAAGAATTGCAAGTTATTGTTCATGACCTCCTTGCTGAAGATATAAATAGAGTCAATATTCTTATGTAAGATATTGATTATTTTACTAATTATAAATTTATGATTGAAGGTATGGTCATAAAAGAAGCGTTTCAAGTTGCGGCATTTATTGAAAAACTACCTCCGATGTGGAAGGACTTTAAGAATTACTTGAAACATAAGCGCAAGGAGATGACGCTTGAAGACCTTATTGTTCGTCTACGGATTGAAGAGGACAACAAGGTTGCTGAGAAGAAGTCCCATGGTAACTCAACAATAATGAGAGCAAAAATTGTTGAGAAAATGTCTACAAGCAACAGAAAGAGAAAGAAGTCGTCTGGTCCAAAGAATTACCCGAGCAAGAAAAAGTTCAAAGGTAATTGATATAACTGTAGAAAGGTTGGACATAAGGTTGTGGACTGTCGTGCACCGAAGAAGGACAAGAAGAAGAGTCAAGTAAACATGGTTGAAAAGAATGATGAAATGGAGGACTTATGTACCATGCTATTTGAATGCAACTTTGTAGGAAATCCCAAGGAGTGGTGGATTGATTCTGGAGCCACTCGCCATGTTTGTGCTAACACAGAGTTATTTGCCTCTTATGTTCCCGCAAGGCCCGACGAGACTATCTTTATGGGAAACTCCACAACATCAAAAAATGAAGGAGTTGGGAAGATAGCTTTGAAGATGACTTCGGGCAAAGTTGTATCTCTAAACAATATTCTTCATTTTCCTGAAATTTGCAAGAATTTGGTCTCTGCTGGATTTCTTATCAAGAATGGATTTAAGTGTGTCTTTATTTCTGAAAAAGTTGTAATAAGTAAGAATGATGTGTATGTAGGAAAAAGTTACTTAGCTGAAGGCCTTTTCAAGTTGAATGTAATAGCTATTGATATCAATAAAGTTCAAGCTTCTTCTTACTTACTTGAGTCAAATAATTTATGGCATGCATGTTTAGGTCATATCAACTTCAAAACTATACGAAAAATGATTAACTTGGAAGTATTGCCTAAATTTGAATGCGATAATCTGAAATGTCAAATAAGCGTGGAATCTAAGTATGTTAAACATCCTTATAAATCGGTTGAAAGGAATTTAAATACTTTAAACTTAATTCATACAGATATTTGCGACATGAAGTCAATACCATCTCGCGGTGGAAAAAAATATTTCATAACTTTTATTAACGATAGTACTAGATATTGTTATATTTACTTACTTAATAGTAAAGATGAAGCAACTGAGGCATTTAAGCAATTCAAAAATGAAGTTGAAACGCAAATAAACAAAAAGATCAAAATGATAAGAAGTGATAGGGGTGGTGAATATGAATCTCCTTTTGAAGAAATATGTTTGGAATATGGCATTATTCACCAAAAAACTGCCCCTTACTCACAACAATCTAATGGAATTGCAGAAAGAAAGAATAGAACGTTAAAGGAGATGATGAATGCCTTGTTGATAAGTTCGGGTTTACCCCAGAACTTGTGGGGGGAAGCTATTCTTACAGCCAATCAAATACTCAATCGAGTTCCCCATAACAAAACGCAATCCATTCCATATGAAAAATGGAAAGGTATGAAACCCAACTTAAAATATTTTAAAGTGTGGGAGTGTTTGTATAAAGTGCAAATTCCTAAACCCAAAAGGGTGAAGATTGGACTAAAAATGGTTGATTGCGTTTTCATATGATATGCAAGAAATAGTAAGGCATATCGCTTTTTGGTTCATAAATCAGAAAATCCCTACATTCATATTAATACGGTAATCGAATCCGATAATGCTGAATTCTTTGAGAATATTTATCCGTATAAATATGAATGTAAGTCATCTATTGAAAAATCTAAGCGACCTCGAGAAGAAGAAAAGGAAAGTACGTTTAATGAGAAAAATTCATGACGTAGTAAATGTCAAAGGACAACTACTTCCTTTGGACTAGACTTTCTGACATTTTTGTTAGAAAATGAGCCTCAAACGTTTAAAGAAGTAATGTCTCCCTCGAAAGCTCAATATTGGAAAGGGGCAGTCAATAGTTAGATAGAATCCATATTAAGTAATCATACTTGGAAATTGGTTGATCTTCCTCCAGGAAATAAATCTTTGGGTTCTAAGTGGATTTTCAAAAGGAAAATGAAAGTTGATGGTACTATTGACAAATATAAGGCAAGATTAGACAACGAGAAAGTCTTGATTATTTTGATACATACTCACCGGTAATGAGGATTACATCTATTCGGGTGTTAATAGAGTTAGCCGCCGTGTATGCTCTAGAAATTCATCAGATGGATGTGAAGACAGCCTGCTTAAATGGAGACTTGGAGGAAGAAATTTATATGGAACAACCTGAAGGGTTCATAGTTCCCGGAAAAGAAAAGGTGTGTCGACTTGTTAAGTCACTTTACGGATTGAAACAAGCACCCAAAAAATAGCATGCGAAATTTGACCAAACAATGTTGGCAAATGGATTTAAGATTAATGAGTGTGATAAATGTGTTTACATTAAAAACACTCCAAATCATTTAGTCATTGTATGTTTATAAGTTGATGACATATTAATAATGAGAAAATACATTGCAGATATAAGTGCTACTAAGCGTATGCTTGCTAGCAAGTTTGATATGAAAGATTTAGGAGGTGATGATTTAATTCTAGGAATTAAAATTCATAAGACTCCTCAAGGGCTGTCATTGTCTCAATCTCATTACGTTAAAATGATACTTGAAAAATTCAAGTATCTAGATTTCAAAGTCGCAAAGACCCCGATTGATGTAAATGTGGCTCTTACAAAGAATCTAGGTCAAAGCGGATCTCAACTAGATTATGCTCGTGTGTTGGGAAGTTTAATGTACATCATGAATTATATACGTCCTGATATAGCTTGTGCAGTAAATAAACTGTGTCGTTAAATAAGTAATCCCGACCAAACTCATTGGATGGCAATGAAACGAGTTTTGGGGTATCTTATGTTACATCCCGCATTTTCGTACGTTAAAGTTTTGTAGTAAGTTAATCGACGTAAGCTCGGGAATGAGATTATAAGTATTATGCTATTTTAAAAATGTGATAAGTAAATTCGTGAAGGAGAGAGGGTAAGCGAATCGAAGAAAATGAGTTTCGTCGAAGTTTGACAATTTGGGATAAAATACGGTCCGAGCTGCAATACCCGATTTTTATGGACTAGTACCATACAAGGTACCATATGACCATGATAGTATGGTGTATAAGGTATGTTAAAAGTAAGTAGTATTTTAAGTATGTTGAGATAATTCTTAACTATGTGGGTAATTAGTTAATTATTGAATAATGAGGATTACCTAATTAATTAAGGAATTGTTGGGTGATTAATTAGAGAAATTGGATAAGATTAAATCCTTCCCCAACGTGGCATCCCATCACTATAATTAGTGACTCATGAATTATGTTGCAAAATGGCAAAGTTAGGTGAATTTTGGGTGGCAGCTTAGTCATTATGCAAATGTGGCCCACAAATCTTAATTGTAAATGCTTTTTATATATCTTTAAGTGAGACACTTATGGATGGAAAATCTCAAACAAGATTCATATGACTCTTTTACAAAGTAAGATAGATTAACGTGAGTTTGCTTCAACAAATTCATACAAGAATATGTATATACTTGTAACGTGAGTTCTTCAAAAAACAAATTCATACGAGACTACGTAATGTTATGGCAACGGGATTTTGCGATTTTATGGGAGTACGGTGCAATCCTTCTCAAGAATATCATACAGATTTTTCCCTACTCCAGATATGTTAAGGCTAAGCCCTTCCTTCACTTTGGCATGATCTCGTAATTATATGTGTTTGATAACGAGGCATAAAGAGAAGTTCA